GACTTGCGCTGCTGACTTTTTTTTCCTGCTGCGCATCGAATAAAGCGAATAAAGTCACGCTCAGCATCGTCGATGTCCAAATTCCACAACAACATCACTATATCCATGGAACACGAACTTGCAGACTCTTTTAACAACGAGGAAATAATTGCACTTTTTAATTCAAAGCCAGGACAGCTTGTTAATACCGGCGAGACCACCTGAAGGACGGCGTGTTCGTGTTGTAATGTCGGCCGTCCAAAAGACTTTGCTTGAAAGCTTTACGGAGCGGCACTGTAACTGTCCAAGGTACTGTTGTATGATTTATATTACAGCATATGCACTAATAAATAAGTCAAAAGAATGAATGAATTAAATAAATATGGATTCTTGAATGTCAGTATTGCTTTTACTCAAAAAATATCAATACGTTTTTACAAATGTTTTATAAAAATAAAATGAGCAATTTTCTTCATTTCAGCTATAGGCAATTATATGATTCAGTTTTACATAAGTTATATGACATTTATGAGGCATGTAACATGTTTCTGTGTTTTTTTTTGTTTTTGTTGTGGTGATCTTTAATATAGCTACGCAAATATTTTCTAAAACGTCTAGCAATAATTCGCCTACAGCTTGTTAGTTAATTATGAACACAAAAATAATTATTATAATAAAAATAAAAGGATCAAAATAAAAAGATAATAGAGCAGCATTTTGCTAAATATAATAGTGCTTTATATGCTTTGAATCCTGCGATATATGTGTTGTTTCATATTCGTTTTTTATTTCACTTGCTGCATTCGTTATTTAATGTTTGAATAGTAAAACAAATAACAGCCATCGCTTAATTGGTTTCATTTTACCATCAAAATGTAGTATATTTTATATCATTATCAACTTTTGATATAAAAACGCAGTGTAGTTTAATTAATTGTTAAAAATGAAATAATTTATGTGCTGTGTTTTTATTAGTGAAAGTGCCCGCTCACTTTTGACAAGGCCTGTCCAAAATTATATTTCTGCCACGATAATGCAAATGCACTATTATTGTTGTCTTATCATTGTTTATTTTTCTGTTATGTTCAGAGATTTTAAATATTATTTATTTCCCCTTCAATTATTTTCAATCATCACGTTACATTTTGGTAATTTTCCCTCCAAATAAAATTTAGCCAGAGCTGCGCAACATATAAATAAATAGGGGTGCACATTTAGCACCCCTATTTGATAGAGCGGCATAACAGTGTTTAGTCACATGGTTGCTTTTGCTTTTATGAAAAAAAAAAGAAATAAATAGTTTCGGCTCTTATTTAACTTTAATTGAACAAAGGGAGCCGTTTACATTGCGTTACCAAGGCAACTACTGATGCGTTTTGTGTAATGTTTTAAAGAGCTTTGTCGCAGCACGACAGTGGAAAATGAAACCGTATCCGTGCTGTCTGGCCCGGTTTGGCACGGAATGGAACAGTTCTGTTTAAAGAACGATTCAGCACGATAGTGGAAAAGCGGCTACGGAGTGCAGGCACTCTTGACAATTCTGGAGGTCATTAATACAATATAATACTGAAATGGTTGAGGCGGTTTAAAATGACCAAAACAACACTTTAGATGTTACAATGTGCTTAGCCTGCTGGTTTGTCCATTCACACACATTTTCAAAATATATGCGCATTATAGCGTTTCCATCAACCGTTTTTATGTGCATATCCAAAAAGCGCAAAAAAGGTGGATGAAACCTGCCCTCTGCTGTACCATCCGGCTTACACAGGGTTTCCGTGGGGTCTTAAAATGTCTAAAATATAAACATCTAAATTTTAGGCCTTAAAAAGTCTCAAGTTCGCTGTTCTAGGTCTGAAATATGTTTGCACAGGTCTTATTTTTCCGATGTACATGTAACGCTACTCCTAATGCTCATTTAATTTTTTTTGTTGTTGCTTGGTTTCGTGGTGGTGTAGTTCTTTATTTCACTATTCCTATTGTAATTTGCAGTATTAAAACTACAAATAAGAAAAGACCAGCATGCAATAGCTCAGTGCGCGCGGCGAATGTGACGTCATCGCCGTGTTTGCGGAGGTTAACTTTGGACGCGCGCGACATGATTTCGGGTGAACAGTTCGCGCGGCGCCGCGCTTGATTCGAGTTGAATTTAAATCACTTTGAAGAGATTTTGTCTGTAACAGTACGACTGTACAGACATCTTAACTATCCGACCATGCGTGATCAGCATAGAGATGACCAGATGACCAATAATTCTTGGCTAGAAATTGCAACAGCCATGGAAAGGAAGTGTTTTGTTAAAGTTTGGAAAAACCTGGGGGATAAGTTTGTTACAACAAAAAAGAGGCTATGGCAAAAGTGGAGACCCAGGTGGTTTTAAGATTACAGAATATGTTTTTTCACCATTTATTGGTTTTAAACTGATGTATCATTTTGAAGTTAAAGCAATGTAACAAAAATTAAGTAACAAATTAAGTATTTGATAACTGGAAAAGAATATATGAGCCCATCGGCTTACAGTGTACTCATGCTTAATTTCTAGGCTTTATTGGTGATGATGGACAGGATTGTTGGACCATTATTGCCTTTTCAGCTCATTAGTAGAGGACAGAAACTAGCCAGACAATAATGTGTCAATTGTTGAGTGGGCAAAAAATAATATATATATATTTTTTTGCTATTATTCTTGCCAGAATAAAAAAACAATTGTAGAGTAACCCATGTTCTGTTGTCATTGATATTTAACTTTAATAGGTAGAACTGTCTGAGATATGAACACAAGTGAGTGATGCATCAAACTCTAATTTAAAAAATCTTGAATAGTTATAAAACTTTATAATCATTCATTAATTTTCTTTTTGGCTTAGTTCCTTTATTAATCTGGGGTCGCCACAGCGGAATGAACCGAATGATTTATCAGCATATGTTTTACACAGCGGGTGCCCTTCCAGCTGCAACCCATTCTCATTTACAACAACAGACAATTTAGCTTACCTAATTCACCTAAAATGCATGTCTTTGGACTGTAGGGGGAAAACCGGAGCATCTTGAGCAAACCCACGCAAACACGGGGAGAACATGCAAACTTCACACAGAAATGCCAACTGACCCAGCCAAGGCTTGAACCAGCGACCTTTTTGCCTTGAGTCGAGAGCGCTACCCACTGCCCCACCGCGTCACCCAACTTTGTAATCATAATCAATTATAAAAATAATGAAAAATAATTATTTTTAAAATCTTGAACAATATTAAAGATATGACGTAGTTCTGAAAACGTTTTACTTCTGTTTATCCGTCTGACTTTACAGTGAGGTTTCTTTTGACTGGCCCCTGATGTTTTAAAGAATATCACAATGACGAACACGTCTAGTATTAAAGCCTCATCCATTTCGTGAGGTGCGCGCACAGTCAGCGGAGGTGTGCAATGCGGAGCCAGGCGAAAGTATAAATCAGCCTCAAAATGTTTGTTTCTTTGTTTTTTTGTTCCTGCACTTAAATGGTGCATCTAACCTGTCTTCAGTACTGTTCTATTTAAATAATTTTATTTTACCACAAATTTAGTGTTTTTGCATTTTCTCTTGCATGCTTTTGATATTGTGATATAGGTCTTAAATTTAATACTTTATGGTCTTAAAGAGGTCTTAAAAAGTCTTAAATTTGACATTATGATATCTGCAGAAACCCTTTTTTTAAGACTTCAATCTATAATCTAAAAAAAAAACATTATGGTAAGAAGACATAACTTAATTTGTGTGATATTATATTTATTAATAATATGTTTAGGCACTAGGCAGTGTTGTTCTGTGGTTTCTGACGGTTCAGTTCGCGAATTAGGTAATTAACAAAGTTTCTCCATAATTTGCAAGTGTTTTTTTTTTATTTATTACATCATCTATTGATCGTACAGATAAAAGAGGCATCATTTGAAATGATAAAAAGTCGTGCATTTGTGCATATTTCTGTTATCTTTATACTCAAAATAACAAAACATTGTTTTTGTAAAATAATCATGGTGCGCAGTGGGTATTGTTATCGCCTCAAAGTAAAAAGTTTGTTGGTTCAAGCCCTGGCTGAGTCAGTTGGTGTTTCTGTGTGGAGTTTGCATGTTTTCGCCATGTTGGCGTGGGTTTCCTCTATAGGTGCTCTATAATTATTATCTATAATTAATGCTGTTTACACAGTTTTAAAAGTGTTTATAGCATCTTTAAATGTGTTATGTAAAATGTGTTTTACTGCCTGGATCTTGTCTGACTCCGCATTTATGGATAATTCCACCAATACCGCCAAGCTAAAAAAGTAATTTGTAATTTTGTAATTTGAGTAGTTTTTACGAAGAGTAATTTGTACTTTTACTTGAGTACTTTTTAACACCAGTACTTTTACTTGTAATTGAGTACAATTTCAGCAATGTAACAGTACTTGTAATTGAGTACAATTTTTTTGTACTCTTACCACCACTGTTGTTTTGGTTGGTGAGAGCAGTGTTCTCCTACGAGAGCGGTTATAGCACCTCCTGATGGTGAATACGGTTATACTCATGGCAGGTATTATTTGATACTTTGGTCATTTATTTCACTGATTTGGGAACCGTCAAACATCTTCAGGGAAACAGTTTGAATTTCCGCTAAGTAAAAAAGCTTTAGTGTTTACTTTGGGACGACACTATAAACATGTACTATGCTGTTGAGTGTGTAGGTGCATGAGTACTTAGTGCATAGTGTTTAGTGTGTGATTTGGGATGCAGCTCTTGGATAACAATGGTTTGTTCTGTAGACACCTGAAAAAATATTGTGTAATGGGGCTAATAGTTGTGACCTTAAAATGTTCTTTTTTTTTTTTTTTAATAACCTGTTTTTGTTCTAGCCAGAATAAAACAAATTTCATTTTCCAGAAGAGAAAATATTACAGGAACTACTGTGAAAAATTGCTCTGTTAACCATCATTTGGGAAATATTTGAAAAAGAAAAAAAATCACAGAAGGGCTAATAATTTTGACTTCGACTGTATGTCATCTCCACCAGTCATCTGGAGAGTAAGGTGTTGGTCCTGGAGTCACAGCAGAGGACAGAGCTGGAGGACATGAGGGAGGAGAAGGAGCGACTGCAGGACCTGGTGAAGAGACAGACGGCCGCCATTACGGCTCTAGAGAGACAGCTGAGAGCGGCCAGCAGCAATAACTCAGCCCTGCAGAAACAGCATCAGCAGCTCATGAAGTCTGTACACACACTTATTGGCATGGTGTCTTCTGGGACAGGTAAGAAAAAACATTCTGTCATCTGAAGTTTGTGAATATGATAGTTGAGTTTGAGAAAGATTGACCAATAAGTTTGCTGTTTTTGGAGCCTTTTGATCACTTCTTTCTTTTTTTATTTGCATTTTCTATACTGTCCCAACTTTTTTTGACTTGGGGTTGTATAGCTAACAACATTCAAAAATGTGCTATGGGAATTTCTTAAAGAATAATTTGTGTAAACATTTTAAATGTATGTATGATGTTAGGTTACTTGTCTGTTAATGATGGACACGCCGGTTCTTGCTCAGACAACAGCTTTTGGTGGCAGATACGATTCTTAACATTTTTAACATTTTTAACAGAACAAGTATTTTGATTAATATTAAATTACATTTTGGGCTGCACAGTGGTGCTGTGAGGTAGCACGATCGCCTCACAGCAAGAAGGTCGCTGGTTCGAGCCTCAGCTGGATCAGTTGGCATCTCTGTGTGGAGTTTGCATGTTCTCCCAGTCTTCACGTGGATTTCTTCCAGGTGCTTCGCTTTCCCCCATAGTCCAAAGACATGCGCTATAGTTGAATTGGGTAAGCTAAAGTGTCTGTAGTGTATGAGTGTGAATGAGAGTGTATGAATGTTTCCCAGAGATGGGTTGCAGCTGGAAGGGAATTCGCTGCGTAAAACATATGCTGGAAAAGTTAGCAGTTCATGCCGCTGTGGCGACCCCAGATTAATAAAGGGACTAAGCTGAAAAGAAAATGAATGAATGAATGAATAAATGACATTTTTCAGTTTCCTCCAAGTCAAAACTATAATTTGACCAGTGGGTCGCTCAACGTCACATAGCTGCAGCTATATTTACGTTGTGGTGAATCAAAACTAGTACAATAATGAGCGAACAACTCTTTACAGACGATTCTGTTTTTCAAATGAATCATTTAGGTTAAAACACATGAAGTGAAACAGTCTGAATCAGCATTCAATAGCCGCGTTTCCACTATCGCGCATAAAGCGAGCGAGCCAGGGCAAGCCAAGGCCAGTGGGGTTTCCACTGTCACTTCCAGGTGCTAATCGGGCCAAAGCGGGGCTTTCTTGGGGCCAGAAGCCGGCCTTTTTCGGCCGCTGAATACCTTGGGCCAAAGAGGGCCAGCTGGGGCTTCAGGGCGGAGTGAAATGAGAAGCGGGCACAGTTTTCCCACCGCAATAACCGCAAATATTGGAAAGAAAACATCTAGCTTTATAAGCTCGGGTCTTTTTGCGCATGATCGCGCTTATGTTTCCCTTTTAAATGTAAGGCTGTTGCATAAAATAATAAAGTAGTTTTAATTTATAAGTGACTTTTCTTTGCTGCTTCCTCCTTGATATAGCGCATAAAAAATCTTTAAACCATATTAAATGCACAGCAGACAGTAAAGGTTTTCGAAAGTTTTTGTCAAGTTTAAAGGGTGTGTTTGTGCGCATTTAGATGCCTGCATGTGAATGTGAGACCAGGCAAAAGAGCGCTCCCTTCACAGCTCTGTTGATGCCGCGAGCGCTTTTTTTTTCTTATATTTTTTATTGTGTATTTATTTTAGAGATAATACACTATATGAATACAACAGAAAGAGATAAAACTTTACAACTTTACAAACTTTTTGTGTCCTCTTTTGTAGGCTCAACACAATATTGTCATATCTTGATAAAATAGCCTAAGCTATATTGAAATAATTTAAAGAATTACAAATATCGGATATAATAAAATCACAATAAATAAACCAATATAAAACTAACAAAAGCTAGCTAGAACAATTTAGGTACTATATACAAATCCAACTTTTTTAAAGCCATTTTAAACTTTAGTTTTTCAAAAGCCTGTCTGAAAAAAAGATTTTAGATATTTTCTAAAAACAATAAACACCAGAGAAGGTTTTAAATATTATTTATATAGTATTTGGATATGAAAATATTAATCAAATCGTGCAAACAGAGCATTTTGATTAATATTAAATTAATGATGAGTGAAAGCAGAAATGAGGCAACCTTTTTTTCAAAATGTGTTCTGTGTCCTCAAACAAGTGTTTGTTTTTATATGACGTGGTAAAATTAAAAAAGGAAATTTTAAATACTTGAAGAGCTTTATTAGTGCATAGCTGCTGAGTGCAATGAAATATAGACTATATTTTATTACTTGCTCTTATGTGCTGAAATACTGAACACTTTCCTTTTATAAAATTTAGTCTATTTTTATAACACTTATTAATGAAAAAAGAATTATAATTTTGCCTTAAAATAAAACATCCATTTATTATTTGCAATAAAGGACAAGATTTTCCTTCTGATTTCATTCAGATTATAAGTTTCATTCCACCTGCATTATTATCATCAGCTCAAGAAGTTGGTTATATCAAATACAGACGCGCACGCGATCGCAAGCAAGAAAGCGAAACCGCTCGTGCTTTAAACTGGCTCGTAAAAACTACGGGGCACAGGGTAGAATCTGATCTTCTTCTGGGTTTTGTGGCTGTTAATCAAGACAACGACAAGGTTTGTTTGAGCTCGGGTCGACCATGGCTCGTTATTATATGTAAATATTATTACAGTATAATGTCTCGGCTGTGTATCTAAAACATGGCGGTTCCTTTGTTTTCATTCTGGCTTGTCGCGTGAGCGAATGACATATTTCTGTAAACCAATAGCGTTCAGCTGCGCGTCTAGCTCTGCCTTTTGGTACCCTTGGTACCCTTTGCAAAGGGTGACCAAAAAGTTGTACGATACAGTTTGATTCGGTGTGCCATGTGACAGTGGAAACGGCCATAAAACCGTACCGAATCGTACCGTACCATACCATTATACTTTCATATTGTTTTTTAGCTGTATGCGATTAAAGTAATTTTTTAAGTTGGTTCTAAGTCATTTTTTTCAGTGTAAGACGTATTTGTTTAGGTCTTTTGAGGAAATAATCAACTCGGGCTCATTGTGGAAACGTAACCCCGTGGACGTTTCTGCAGACCGCGAGATACATCCCGGGAGGTACGTATTCGAGCGCTTTTTGTTTTCGCGGATCCACGTTTGCACCCGCGCCGTTCTCGCGCGAAAAACTGCCAGATCGGCCGAGCTGGCCGCCCTCCTCTTCCTCCTCCTCCTTTCCTAAATCCGAGCGACGGTTTGCAAAAGCCGTCCAGAAAAAAAAAAGCAAAAGCCCTCATATTCGATTTCGACCGCATTTTCGGATCCCGCCACATTCTCGCCCTTATTTTTCAGATTCTGTTTTTCATCTTACCTGATTTCTTGATCCGCTGTTCCCCTGACTCGATCCTGGTCGTCGTCCCCGCGGCCGGCTCCTCCTCCTCCGGGGCCTCCGCTCCGCCGACGCAACACTGTGAGCGAAGCGGACAAACTGGTTGCTTCGGGAAAGCCCTCCACTCGGAGGCGAGCCGTCGGCCGGCGAGCGCGAAGAGGAGGAGTGGAGCGGCGCCACACCGCCCCGCAGCGTTCGCTCAAAAAAAACTAAACGCGGACGTACGTACCTCCGGCCACGTAAATCACGGTCTCCAGAAACGTCCGCGGGGCTATGTTTCCAGAATGAGCTTGAGTTGAAAATATTTATGCTTGTTTATTCATGATTCGGGTTTTAAATTTATAAATTGAAACTTGCTAATGTTAATTGTGCTTCGCTGATCCGATCTGACCTCATTTTTGATTACGAGGTCAGGTTACTTGTCTGAGAATGACAGACATGTCTGATTCTTGCTCATGCGACAGCTTTTAAATCTGGTGGCAGATTCGATTCTTAACATGACCTGAAAGTTGTGGTTAATTAACAGTGACACTAATGATAAATGGAGCCGCCGTGATTCATGGAGAGAGGGGGATAAGCTCTCGCTAGTGATGTCTTTGGCAGCGAGCTCTCGTGTCTTGGATGAAGTTCACATGCGTCACAACATACACTGATAAGCTAAATCAAGACTGCAGCATTTTATACGGACAGAAGACATGACAGATTATAAATGAAGAACCGAATGTACCCAATGTTAAAAATAAACACTCTCTCAGATGCACCATGAACAAAGCAGCGATTAAATGACTCATTTCGAAAGTAGATCACTGCGGACTTCATATTTGAAAAGTTGAGGTCACATAATTAATTTAAATCTGGTTCCTTTCACAGTAGAAGCCACATCGTTTTTGTTGTCACACTGTGTGGCGAATTCACAAGACAAATTGAGCATGTGAGGTTTCTGCACAAAAATCCACATCGTTTATCATTGAGTCATACATATATTATTAATTAGTCTTTTTTAAGTATGATTGAGATTTGTTTTAATTGTTTAAAGGTCCCATGAAATTAAAATATAATGTTTTAGATGTTAGTATTAGTACTGTTAATTTTTAGGATATCTATAAGCCAGTATCTGCCACAGCCATGTCACTCTGCAGCCCAAGACCAGTTACTCACTGAAGCTAAGCAGGGCTGAGCCTGGTCAGTACCTGGATGGGAGACCACTAGGGAACACTAGGTTGCTGTTGGAAGTGGTGTTAGTGAGGCCAGCAGGGGGCACTCAACCTGTGGTCTGTGTGAGTCCTAATGCACCAGTAAAAGTGAAGGGGACACTACACTGTCAGTGGGCGTTGTCTTTCGGATGAGACGTTAAACCGAGGTCCTGACTCTCTGTGGTCATTAAAAATCCCATGGCACTTCTTGTGAAAGAGCAGGGATGTAACCCCGGTGTCCTGGCCAAAGTCCCTCTATCGGCCCTTACGATCACCGAATTGGCTCTATCACTGTCTCTCCTCTCCACCAATAGCTGATGTGTGGTGAGCGCACTGGCGCCGTTGTCATGTGGCTGCCGTCGCATCATCCAAGTGGATGCTGCACACTGGTGGTGGTGTGAAGAGACCCCCCCCCCTCATGATTGTGAAGCGCTTTGGGTGTATGGCCATACACAATAAATGCGCTATATAAATACACATTACATTACATTACATTACATAGTACGCACCAAAACAGTGCCAAAATTTGCATTTAGAAGATTTAAAAACTGATATAAACATGTAGGGCTTGTCACTAAAATGTTCACGTTTACTCATATTTCAGTTTTTCATCAAATCGTGACCAATTTAAAGCTCTCTAGTATCAGACATGCCCTTCTCCCTTTAAGATGACATGATGCTCGATTGGTGCTAATGGGCCCAATGTGTGAAAATATCCCCTAGACCATTACACCACTACCATCAGCCTGAACTGTTTATACAAGGCTTGGTGGATCCATGCTTTCATGTTGTCGACGCCAAATTCTGACCCTACAATCCGAATGTCGCAGCAGAAATCGAGACTCATCAGACCAGTCAATGTTTTTCCAATCTTCTATTGACCAATTTTGGTGAGCCTGTGTGAATTGTAGCCTCAGTTTCCTGTTCTTAGCTGACAGGAGTGGCACCCGGTGTGGTCTTCTGCTGCTGTAGCCCATCCACCTCAAGGTTGGACGTGTTGTGCATTCAGAGATGCTCTTCTGCATACCTCGGTTGTCAAGAGTGGTTATTTAAGGTACTGTTGCCTTTCTATCAGCTGGAACCAGTCTGACCATTCTCCTCTGTCTCTCTGGCATCAACACAGCATTTGTGCCCACAGAACTGCAGCTCACTGGATATTTTCTGCAGGTTCTTGAATACTCAGACCAGCCCATTTGGCACCAACAACCATGCCACATTCAAAGTCACCTAAATCAGCTTTCTTCCCCATTCTGATGCTTGATTTGAACTGCAGCAGATCATCTTTATCATGTCTACATGCCTAAATGCATTGAGTTGCTGCCATGTGATTGGCTGATTAGAAATTTGCATTAACGAGCAGTTAGACAAATATACCTAATAAAGTGGCCTGTGTGTATATTTCGGTTGAGATTACATCAGACGTTGTATGAAAATGCACATTTCAAAGCACTTCATTGAACCTTTAACAATTGTTTTTTTTTTTTAATTTTCCATGATATGATGTTAGTTGATTAGTAGTTATTTAAGTATGATTTATATTTCTTTTTTCAGTAACACTTTAGTGTTACTAGTTTTTATTATTTATTAGTGGCTTATTAGCTTTCTATTATTAAGATATTAGCTGTTCATTAGTACTTTTTTGTAGTAATATTACTTAAAATTAAAAAAATTATAAAAAGCTAGTAGTTTACTGAGGGCACAATTCTATTTAATGGCTTATCATTAGTGGGAATTGTACCGTAAAGCAAAGTGTGGTGCTATGTTTTTATTTCAGTTCAGGTAATGATTTCTTTTTTTAAACATTCTACCTGTAATATGACGTTAGTTACAATATGAATCAGTGTTATTTTAGATCGTCACCAATATTTATTAATGTATGTTTTATATATTTTCTGTTTTTGTTTTAACTTTAGATATGTTTTAGATATTTTATTGTGTTTTTTACAGCTTTTTTTACTTAATCATTATTATTATTTGTTTTTATTTATTTTTTTATTTTGCTTGTTTTTTAACAGGGACAATACACTTGACATTGTTATACAAAGACAACCAATGTCAATTGGTTGTAATGTTTTATTTATTTATATATTTATTTATTTATTTATTTATTTATTTATTGTTATTATTGTTTTTTATTATTAGTATTATTTTATTATTGTTAACATTATTTTATTATTAGTAATATTTTATAGTTATTATATTATTATAATTATTTATTAATAACAATAATAATAATAATAATAGTTATTATTATTATTATTTATATTATTATTTTATTATTAATATTATTTTATAATAATAATAATTATTATTATTATTATTATTTCATTATTATTATTTTATTATTATTATTATTATTATTATTATTATTATCGCTATGGTAACATTTTACAATGGGGCTGTATTAATTATTGTTAGTTAATTTATTTACAAACAAACAATGAACAATACATTTATTGCCATATTTATTAATTTTGCTTTAATTAATGAAAATAAAATTCTTCAATGTTATAGTTCATGTTAACACACAGTGCATTAACTAATGTTTACAAACATGAATTTGGATTTTAATAATACTTTAGTAAATGTTGAACTATGATTAATCAATAATGGTGGTTTAGTGGTTAGCACTGTCAGCTCACAGCAAGAAGGTCGCTGGTTCGAGTCCCGGCTGGACCAGTTGGCATTTCTGTGTAGAGTTTGCATGTTCTCCCTGTGTTGGGTTTCCTCCGGGTGCTCCAGTTTCCCCCACAGTCCAAAGACACGCACTGTAGATGAATTGAATAAACTAAAATAGTTGTAGTTTATGAGTGTGTGTTTGAATGAAAGTGTGTATGGGTGTTTCCCAGTACTGGGTTGCAGCTGGAAGGCATCTGCTGTGTAAAACATATGGTGGAATAGTTGGCAGTTCTTTCCGCTGTGGTGATCCCTGATGAATAAGGGACTAAGCTGAAGGAAAATGAATGAAAGTATTGGGCATTCTTAGTTCACATTAGTAAATATGTTAACTAACATTAACTAATGAAACCTTATTATGGAGTGTGTCACCATTATTATTATTCATTTATTCATTTTCTTGTTGGCTTAGTCCCTTTATTAATCCGGGGTCACCACAGCGGAATGAACCGCCAACTTATTCAGCAAGTTTTTTTATGCAGCGGATGCCCTTCCAGCTGCAACCAGGCAGGGAGAACATGCAAACTTCACACAGAAACACCAACTGAGCCGAAGTTCGAATCAGCGACCCAGCGACCTTCTTGCTGTGAGGCGACAGCACTACCTACTGCGCCACTGCCTCGTCAATTATTTTTATTTTATTTGTATTTTTTTCACAGTTTATTTTAAGTGAACTAAATTAAGGCTGTATTCAAATAAGAGTATCCTAGTACTTGTACGAATACACTTTCAGCTATGCCACAATGGCCTTTTGTTGGCTCTTCCTTGCCTTCCTTCTAAACTATGAATCTCAGAGCGTCTGTATTTCTCCCTGACAGGCATTACGCCAAATGAGCAGCGTTTCCGAGACTGTGCTGAGGCCTATAAATCCGGTCACAACACCAGCGGCGTCTACCACATTTACATCGGAGACATGACGGAGCCAACCAAGGTGTGGGATGCGTTCTTTCACAAGTATGGGGAATCAGTGCGATATATCCTGGCTGTGACATACAGAATGAGGAACAGCTTAAATGTAAGAGAGTGAGACTGAGACGTATCGTATGCTTCTGACAGGTCTTCTGTGATATGGTGACAAGTGGAGGTGGCTGGACTGTATTCCAGCACAGAGCCAATGGAAGTGTGAACTTCCAGAAAGGCTGGAAAGACTACAAGCTGGTGAGTGGATATATTACATTCTAATGTGTATTATAGAGCTTCATTGCAACCATCTAGTATTGAATAGCAACATCCTACAATACCTTGGCAACCTTACAGAATAGCCTAGAAACCACACACAACACCATAGCAACCATCCAAAAAACCCATTGCAACCATCCAGAACACCTTAGCAGCCATTTCCAATCCCTTAGTAACCAGTTTCTCAGGCCTAGAAACTGGCCTAGCAACCACCCAGAATGCATTAGCTACTCCTTAGTAACCATTCAGAATACTCCAGAAGCCCCTTAGTAACCATTCAGAACAGCTTAGCAACCACTTAGAATATCTTAACAACAACTTATAACTCCTTAGTAACCATTTAGAACAGCCCACCAAGCACCCACAATCCCTTTGTAACAACCCAGAACATCCTAGAAATCACCCCAAACTCCTAAGCAACCACTCAACAACCCCTTAATAACAACTCAGAACATCATAGCAACACCTTAGTAACCAACATTTTAGCATTATTCCTGAATATTGTACCTTTACAACTACCCACAACCCTTTTGTAACAACCCAGAACAGTCTAGCAACCACCCAAAAGTCTTAGCAACCACTCAGCAACACCTTAGTAACCACCCAGAACACCCTAGCAACACCTTAGTTACCAACACCTTAGCATTATTCTTGAATACTGTACCTTAACAACTACCCACAACCCCTTTGTAACCACCCTGAACACTGTAGCAACCACCCAAAACCTCTTAGTAAACACTCAACAACCCCTTGTTAACCATTTATAACACCCTAGCAACGCCTTAGTAACCAACACCTTATCCCTGAATACTGTACCTTAACAATTACCCACGATCCCTTATTATCAAGCCAGAACATACTAGAAACTGCCCAAAAATCCTAAGGAACTACTCAACAACCCCTTAGTAACCATCCAGAACACCCTAGCAACACCTTAGTAACCAACACCTTAGCATTATTCCTGAATACTGTACCTTAACAACTACCCACAGCCCCTTAATAACAACCCAGAACACTCTAGCAACCACCCAAAACCCTTTAGCAACCACTCAACAACCTTGTAGTAACCATTCAGAACATCCTAGCAGCACCTTAGTTTCCAACATCGTATCCTTATTCCTGAATACCTTAACAACTACCTGCAACCCTTTAGTAACCATTCAGAATACCCTAGCAACCAACACACCTACAACCTACAACACCTTGTAAACTCATTAAATACCTTAGCAACCACATAACCCATTTATATAGATTCAGAACACCCCAACAACACCTTTATAAATAAACACCTTAATATTATATCTGAATACTGTACCTTAACAACTACCCACAACCCCATAGTGACAACCCCGAACAACCTAGCAACACCTTAGCAACATCTTAGCATTATTTCTGAATACCTTAACAACTTCCAACAACCTCTTAGTAATTATCCAGAACACCCTAGCAACACCATAATAACCTACACCTTAGCATTATTCCTGAATACTATACCTTATCAACTTAGTAACCACCTAAAACACATTGGAAACTAACGAAATACCCTAGCAACCATCATTAATCCTTTGGAATCATCCATTATGCCCTAGCAACAACTCAGAACAGCCTAGCAACCATCCACACTCCCATAGAGCACTTTATCATGCCACTTTCTAGACAAATACCACTCTTTACTTTTGTAGATGGTAATAAAAATTTATTGATTATGTTTAGAGAATATGTTTATATATTTTTTGTAGTATAGATTTTGCACAACTCTGATGACATAAGCTCCAAATCCAGCCAAAGCACAATGAAGCAGCGAGGCTAAAATTGTACATGACAGATTGGCATCATTGGCAGTTGCTTGTACAATCTGTATTAAATAGCGCCACTTTTTGCTGATTTTTTCAGAGCTGAAATATGCAGAATTGGAGCAGCAAGCAGTAAAAATCAATAGTGCAATTTTCAGCCTTTTGTTCATCTTGCCAAAAGTCATTGTGAGCCTTTCTTTCTCTAAAACACTATAAAGGATGAGACCCTTTTCTGGGAAACAAATAATAAAAGACTAACAATGTGCCTATTTATTTTAAGAAATCCAAACAGCTGTCTTGCATCTACTTTTGTGTTTCAGTCATAGCTGAGTAAGCTAAATTCCCCCTTAATATCGAAAAATACCCATACATTGCCTCTGTTTTTAAATAAATGACATTTTCTTAAGGATAACAACAACCTCAGTCAATGCTAAAAACTATAGACAGCACTATTATTGTAATAATAAAGGTTCTTCAACAAACTCAGTACTATTTGCACAATCTTTTAGTATGAATGTGCACTGTTACACCCTTAAAATGGTAGTTTACCCAAAACTAACAATTCAGTCATCATTTACTCACTGTTTACTTCGGTAACACTTTTTAATGACTACACACTATAAATCATTTATTAAGCATTAACAAATAGTGGATTCATTATCTGTTAAGCATTAACTCTACATCAGTAAGCGTTAGTAAGCAGTTTATAAATGCAGCTACAAATGCTGCATTCTTGACTAACAAACATATTTAAAATGTGCTTAATAATTGTGTTTTCATACTTAGTTAATGATTTATTTTTCATTACTAAATTAAGTATCGCATTATTTACAAACCAGTTGTATTTAAGAGTAGTTGAGGGTTTTTAGGATCATTCAGAATGAGCTATTAAATGATTAATAAACTGTTGAAATCAACGTTTATATGTCTTATTATTTAGGCATATATTAATGGTCACTATGTATGTTAATAAATGCTTTATTAACTCAACTTCATGCAGTTTTGTGACCTAATCTAAAATGATAACTATTTATCCTTTATAAATCCCTTATAAATGACTATTAAAGGCTCAGTTAAACTCTAAACAGGTAAAATGTCATTATTCATTCCAATTCATTTAAAGATACACAAATGAAACTGTACTACAAATGAAAAATAAATCTTTGCAACCTGATCTAAAATAAAATCACTGTAGAGTTTAAACATTGCATCTTACTATATTGTTAAATTATTATATTGTTGTTATTGTTGTTTTATCCAGTTTTATGTTGTATTTTGACAATTCTGTAATTTGGCCCTGTTTAAACTTTACAGTAATTTTACTTTTTAGAAAAGATTGCAAAGATTATAGTTCATTTGATTCTAAGCCTTTAATAGTCATTTATAAGGGATTTATAAAGCATGAATAGTCCTCACGTTAGATTAGGTCACAAAACTGCATGAAGTTGAGTTAATCAAACATTTATTAGCATATTAGTTAACTATTAGAATATGCTTGAATAATAAGATATATAAATATTGTTTTCAATAGTTTATTAATCATTTTTTGACTCTAATTTAACTACTCTTAAATACAAACGGTTTGTAAATAATATGATACTTAATTTAGTAATGAAATATAAATCATTAACTAAGTATGAAAATACAATTATTAATCACATTTTATAGGTGCTAATGTCAAGAATAGAGCATTTGTAGCTGCAGTTTTAAACTGCTTACTAACATTTATTAATGTAGAGTTAATGCATAACAAATAATGAATTCACTAGATGCTAATGCTTAGTAAATGAATCATAGTGTGTAGTTATTATAAAGTGTTACCTTTACTTCTTACAAACCTGTTTGACTTTTTGTCATATGTTTACACACACATACACACACATACACGATGGCCAATTTAGTTTATCCAGTTGAACCGCCTCTGGCCACGCCCCTTCGCTGCGTGTGGTGAATGCGCGTAACCTGAAGCTAGTGATCTCACTAGCCCGGATGTATTTTTTTTTGTAGTCCCCAAACTTTGTTCGCTGTAAGCTTTGCTAAGCTAGCTTTGTAAAAGCCAGTGTCTCTCTTTACGTTGAACTTTGAGCGTCTTGCATTCAGAGATGTTGTTTATGTTCACACAGCTACATTGCACACCAACTAAAGTTTAAAATATGATATCGAAGTGGACCAAACCTTTAAAAGTGTTGTTATATGTTGTCCTCACAGGGATTTGGTGATCCTAGTGGAGAGCACTGGTTAGGTAATGAGGCCATTCACCTGATCACCAGTCAAGGCCAGTACTCCCTTCGAGTGGAACTGAAGGACTGGGAGGAGAACGGAGCATATGCACTGTATGACAAATTCCAGCTGACCAGTGAAAAACAGCAGTACAGGTATTATATACATAATACACAGCTGAAGACAAAATTATTATCTTGCAAAAATATAAATACATTTTTTTTTTTACCAATTTCCGTTTAACAGAGAGAATTTTTTTCAACACATTTCTAAACATACTAGTTTTAATAACTCATTTCTAATAAAAAAGTCAGAATTGTTTGCTCCCTTTTCATTTTTTTCTTTTTTTAAATCTTTCTTAAATGATGTTTAACAGAGCAAGGAAATTTTCACAGTGTGTCTGATAATATTTTTTCTTCTAGAGAAAGTCTTATTTGTTTTATTTTGGCTAGAATAAAAGCAGTTTTTAATTTTTTAAACACCATTTTCAGGTCAAAATTATTGTCCCCTTTAAGCTATATATTTTTTCGATAGTCTACAGAACAAACTATCATTATTCAATATTTTACCTAATTACCCTAACCTGCCTAGGTAACCTAATTAACCTAGTTAAGCCTTTAAATGTCACTTTAAGCTGTATAGAAGTGTCTTGAAAAATATCTAGTCAAATATTATGTACTGTCATCATGGCAAAGATCAAATAAATCAGTTACTGGAGATGAAGTATTAAAACTATTGTGTTTAGAAATGTGTTGAAAAAAAAATCTTCTCTCTATTAAACAGAAATTAGGGGAAAAAATAAACAGGGGGGCTAATAATTCTGACTTCAACTGTATAAATACACAATAATGACCAAGACTGAGTATAAAGATGGCTGTTATGATAACGTCTATCTCGCATTGTTTTTTTTTACCTCCAGACTCTTGCTAGGGAGCCATAGTGGAACAGCAGGACAAAAAAGCAGCTTAGCATTAAACGGCACAGGCTTCAGCACTCGCGATGCCGACAACGACAAGTGCGAGTGCAAGTGTGCTCTCATGATGACTGGAGGTGAGGGAATGCAGATTATCTAATGCAAAAACACTGATTCATAGAGGAAATCTGATGTTTAGTGTGTAATGTGTTTGTTTGTGCATATATACCATCTGCAGAATTCTTAAACAAGAAGCATTGATCCATTTCCAGATATTATACTGTATTATATGGGTCACGGTTTGATTTATAATCATAATGTCGCCCAATGGTATATGTAAAGAGTGTTGCTGAATATCATACAATATGCAGCATTTGAAAATAGTGCCCAGTTAGGTAACTAGGTAGCATTGCTGCATAATATCATAGTGCTGTTGTGACCATGGAACAACAACAAAGTTTCTTGATTATTACACCAAAATGAAAGTATTGTTCTTGCCATATCGGCCTAAATAAAGTTTCTAGTAAAATTATTTACAATTTTATAGCGAGATGCTAATGGTCTAATCTGAATCAATGATCTATGCCAGTGGTTCTCAAACTGTGGTACGTGTACCACTAGTGGTACGCAGGCTTCCTTCTAGTGGTATGCGGAGAAATTAAATATGTGATGTACATGCTACACACATTTCAAAATTTATCAAAAATGATGTACATGATAAGCCATATATGACATATAGCCTATATTTCTAAGATAATCTGCCACATTTTTTAACTGTGCAGAGTTGTAGCTGCTTTACTGGGCCTACTACGCTACTATATTTCAATACTGCTCATTTTGGTGGTACTTAAAAAGACAATTTTTTTCTGAGGTGGTACTTGATGAAAAATATTTGAGAAGCACTGATCTATGCTAAGCTAAGCTAAAAATGCCCCCGCCAGATTGAATAAATGGATTCAAAAATAGTACAAATAAACTCTTTAACTCTAGGGCACTTGTAAAATGAGATTATACACACAAAACTTTGTGTTTCTTCAAGACTGGTTTTGCTATTATATTTAATTTTTTATTATATTGAATAAAAAACTGCAGCTCAATGGATGAAGAGAGATTACATTTAAAAAAAAAACTTTCATTGTCATCAAAAAACATCACCTTTTTTCTTTAATTGGTCATTTAAAACACGTAAATCTCAATTGTCACTCACCAATCGCAGGCCATCATCAACATTCATATCTATTTAATAACATTTATTCACTCGTGGCTTGAATGCTAACCCGAAACGGTCATGCAGAATGCCTCTGATCCTCTGGTAATCGTTGAAAACACAACTCTATCGCATAATTGTTTAAAACACGTCTGCAATCCAAATAATTTCTCCAATTTACTCCATGATGTAACAACAAAAGAAGTAAGTTTTAAATAGGAAAATTATGTAAAATTGAGCGAGATGCTAATGGTCTAATCTGATTCAATGATCTATGCTAAGCTAAGCTAAAAATCCTTTCTGCAGATCGAAAGATCGGCTGAATGGATTAAAAAATGGTAAAACTCAACTTTTTAACTCAAGGGAAGGTGCAATATATGCCTATATAAAAAAGCAGAGTGTTTCTTTAATGATATCAAATTTTCTAATGATATTGAATCAAAACCTGCTGTTCACTGGTATTTTTTTATTTACTGCACTGACTAAAAACAATAACCAGTCTGATGGATCATTTGAGAGTATAGTTCTTGCATCGTTACAGAAGATTCAAACTTTAAATAGGTTTTAAATAAAGTTATGTAAAAAAATTTGAGCGAAATGCTAATGGTCTAATCTGATTCAATGATTTATGCTAAGCTAAGCTAAAATGCTCCCGCCAGACCCGGAGATTGGCTGAATGGATTCAGAAATGGTAAAACTCAACTCTTTAACTCAATGGAAGGTGCAAAATTAGCAAATATAAAAAAGTGGAGTGTTCCTTTAATTATGTTGATTTTTATTTTTATGATATTGAATCCGAAATTTCTGTTTAATGGTTTTTTTTAGCTGTCATTTTCATTCATCGCACTGACTAAAAACATCACCAGACTTTGACCTTTAATGAATCATTTAAAACACTTAAATGTCCACTGGCACTCACCAATCGCAGGCCATCATCAACATTCATATCTTTTTAGTAACATTTATTCACTTGTGGCTTGAAAGCGAACCCGAAACGGTCATGCAGAATGCCTCTGATCCTCTGGTAATCGAAGAAAACACAACCCCATCACAGAATTATGTAAAACATGTCTGCAATCCAAACAATTTACTCCCGGCCTGCAGATCCCACACCTCCGGCCTCCAAGATAAACAGCGTTTTAATAGCATGCATTGCCGTTGATTTGGAAAGTTGTTGGAGTTAATTACCGTTGAAGTGGCTGGAGACCTTGGAGTGCCCTTTATGTTTGCATTTCAAATAGTAATCAGAAAGATCGAAAGATGGATCCATCTGAGCAGCCCGTCCAAACTAAACACGCATTGAGGGAGGTGATGCTGATTTAATCAGGGTTAGATCGACGGTGTCCTCTCTGAAGAGTCCAAGTCTGGCTTTTATTGAAGAATCACAGTTTGCTTTGACAGGTCTTGCTGAGACATCGACCGCACAGTGGGAATAACAGAGCCTTTGAAAACGCTGACAGACTGCAGAGAGAAAATATAAAAAAGACACAATATTAGAGCGGAGCGAAGGGTCAAGGGCTCGGGTTGTTTTGAGAAGATGTAATTTTTAAGCCTGTCATCGTTTGCTCAACCTCATGTCCTTCCAGAATCCTGTATGACTTGCTGTCTTTTGTGGAATGTATAATGAAATGCTTTGTATAATCTCTGGGTTGGGGTTATTTTTCGACCTGTAAAATTCGATCACGTTCCAAAAAGCTGCACGAACGTAGTCTGTACAAATCTCATGCTCTTTTTTTTTTTTTTTTTTATATATAAGGATGTTAAGCAATTAAATATGAAAAACATTTATAAGCATAATATAATTAAAATTTTTACCTGAAGTATAATATGCTAATCAAGATACGTGCCATTTTAGTAAAAAAAAAAAAAAAAAAATATATATATATATATATATATATATATATGAACATATATATATATATATATATATACATTCATTTTCTTGTTGGCTTAGTCCCTTTATTAATCCGGGGTCGCCACAGCGGAATGAACCGCCAACTTATTCAGCAAGTTTTTATGCAGCGGATGCCCTTCCAGCCGCAACCCATCTCTGGGAAACATTCACACACACATTCACAGACACAGACACACACATTCATACACTACAGACAATTTAGCCTACCTAATTCACCTGTACCACATGTCTTTGGACTGTGGGGAAAACCGGAGCACCCGGAAGAAACCCACGCGAAGGCAGGGAGAACATGCAAACTCCACAAAGAAATGCCAACTGAGCCGAGGTTCGAACCAGCGACCCAGCAACGTTCTTGCACTACTGCGCCACTGCCTCGCATATATATACTAATAAATACAACTAATATATATATATATATATATATATATATATATATATATATATATATATATATATATATATATATATATATATTAGTTGTATTTATTAGTTGTATTTTGGTTTTATTTATTTTTTTATGTAGTATTAAGTTTGGATTATATTTTTAAGTTATTTCTAAGTACAGTGTTTAGTCATTGCATTATTAAACAATAAAAATTTTGAACATGAACATGCAATGTATTCATGTAAAGCTTTTTGTTCCGTATTGCATTATTTTTATACGTTAATTTAGTTTGATATGTTCTTTATGAATGTTTTTTATTAATATTAATGTTTTTATTAATCTACTAGTTGAATTTGCTGTCAAGTTTGTTTTATTTTCAGTTATTATTTTAGTGCATGATATAGGGAGCGTTCTTAATTTCTACATATTTTGTCATGTAATATTTCAGATTTAATTATATTTTCAGCTTTTTTTGGATTAACCAAATTTAAAAATATATATATTGATGTTAACAATAATATATAAATTTGCCTTCTCCTGTGGTTTGCAATGTAATGGGCAGCACAAATGTCTTGATACCTCAGGCTGTTGATGTTGCCATCCACTCTGCAGATCTCTCGCACACGCCCATTCTGAATGTAACACCAAACCATGATTTGTCCTTCACCAAACTTGACTGATTTCTGTAAAAATCTTGAGTTTATGCTGGTTCCAATAGGTCTTCTGCAGTATTAGTGATGATTGGGATGCAGATGATTCATCAGAAAAATCTACCTTCTGACAGTTTTCCCAAATAATCTACTAGTTATCAAGTTATTAATGTTTACTCTTACTATTGAGATCGACGACAAGACTTTTGTTAGGTAGTGTAGAAACTATTCTGAGAAATCTGAGAGTTTTATCTAAATACTGAATAAGTAGCCTTTAAAGTTGTCTAAATTAAGCGTTTGGCAATGCATATTGTTAAAAAAAATATCTAAAATTTTAAAATAAAATTGTAAATATTTACAGCAGGAAATTTCTTGATCTCTGAAGAACTAGATCTTTATTTAATATTTTTATGATTTTGGGCAAAACTATTTTTAAAATGTTTTCCCAATGTATTTTTGGCTACCAAATTAAGCTCTTAGCAATGAATATTATGAATCAAAAAATCGTAAAAGTTTTTTTTATATATATTTACAGTAGTAAATTTACGAAATGTCCTCATGCAAATTGATCTTTACTTTATATTCTATTGATTTTGGGCTAAAAAATTATAATGTTGACCCCTATTATGTGCCAAATAACCAAAAGTATGCCCAGCTTAAGATTGATTTTATGGATCGGGCCACATACAATATATGAACACTCATTTTAAGACAATTTTGTCTCAATCTCATCTCGTTTGTCCTCAGGCTGGTGGTTTGAAGCTTGCGGTATGTCCAACCTGAACGGCATCTACTACACCATCGGTCACAACATCCGCAAACTCAATGGCATTAAATGGCATCACTTCCGAGGACCCAGTTATTCACTCCAGTCCACTTCCATGATGATCCGACCCACTGATTTCTAAAGCTAATGAACCAGCATTTCCACAAGACTGTCGTACTGTAGGACAGTGGAACCAGATTTAAAAAAGCAATGTAATGGATGAACAGTGATGATTTACTGCAAATCCGACTGCTGGAATGGACAAAAGCATTCATCTATGCCAACATTTCCATTTTAGACATAACTGTATAAAGACGCTTCACCTTCACAGCTGCTCTAGCGTGAATTCATTCGTCTCTTATAACCTGAAACATTCTCAGTGACGGAGACTTCTGCTGAACAAGGATCGTCGCTGTGCAATGAAATTATTCCAAAGGAAAACCTTTTGACCTTGAGGAGGCTGAAGATTTTGGAGCAGTTTTTCAGAAAGTTCCAGTGGAAACCAGAGGATTATTAACAGTTTTTTTTTTTGTAAAAGATAACGGCTGTTAAAGGGGTAGTTCACCCAAAAATGAAAATTATTGACTCCAAAACTTGGATTTTTTTTTCCCTTCAGTTAAACACAAAAGAAGATTTTTTGAAGACCTGTAACCATTCACTTTCATTGTAGGAAAAACAAATACTATGAATGTCAATGGTTATAGATTTACAGCATTCTTCAAAATATCTTATTTTGTGTTCAACAGAAGAAAAATCCTACAACAACATCATATGATGTTAAATTTAGGTTAGATTTAGGTTGTGATGTCAGGTGACCAAAATTCAATGTCTAGGTAGTGTTTAAGGACAGTGTTATTTTGACGTCCAATAACGATGTCAAATGACATTGATATTTGGTTGATTTTAGGTTGGACCTTGGAAATTGACTTTGGCCTGACATTGGGTTCTGATGTCAACCCTATTTTCATTTCCAAACAAAACGCAACTCATAAAGGTTTGTAACGAGTAAATGATGACAGAATTATAGTGAAGACGCTGACTAGATTTACTAGCGTTCAAATATTTTTGTATAATTTTAAATTAAGCCTCTTAAGCTCCTCAAAGCTGCATTTTAAAGTAACACAATGCAATTTAAAATATATTTTAACATGTAATTTATTCCTATGATGCAAATCTGAAGTTTTAGCATCAGTACAGTATTTAGTATAACATTATCCCTTGAAGAATCATACTGATATCCTTATATTTTGAATGTCAATGTTGAAAATGGGTTTTTTCCCCTTATCTGTATATATAAACCTTATTGACTGCAATTTTTTGAATGAAAGTGTAGCTAGTAGCGTAAAGGCATTTGTATAATTGAGTGTGCATTTTAACAACTGGACATTTTTATATATTTTTAATATCTTTCTGTATTTTTCATCCTCCTTTCTCCCATGACATACATTAAAAAAGTATGTAAAAAATGGACACTTCTAGAATTAAGGGATAGTTCACCTAAAAACGAAAACGTGCTGAAAAAATGGACACTTCTAGAATTAAGGGATAGTTAGTTATGGAAATTTTCTATGACGCGGTTCGGTGGCAAGCAATCAAAATGTAGAAGTCCACTGAGAACACAGTCACAGTTGTTCCCAAGGGTTTGATTATTTTGGTTCCCGGATTTCCAATTATTTGCAATGTCATACAGGGACATACATTAAAAAAAGTTACTGGCGAGTTATTGATGTGCATCAATGTTATATATATATATAGAAATGTGCTGAAACAATCTTCCCTCCATTAAACAGAAATTGGGGGAAAAAAAATAAACAGGGGCGCTAATAATTCGGGGGGGCTTATAATTCTGACTTCAACTGTATATATATATATATATATATATATATATATATATATATATATATATATATATATATATATATATATATATATATATATATATATATATATATATATATATATATATATATATATATATATATATATAACCTATTTCTAATAACTGATTTATTTTTTGCTTTGCCATTATGACAGTAAATAATATTTTACTTGATATTTTTCAAGACACTTCTATACAGCTTAAAGTGACATTTAAAGGCTTAATTAGGTTAATAAGGTGAACTAGGCAGGTTAGGTTAATTAGGCAAGTTATTCTATAATGATGGTTTGTTCTGTAGACTATCGGAAAAAATTAGCTTAAAGGGGCTAATAATTTTGTCCCAAAAATAGTTTTAAAAAAATTCAAAACTTCTGTTATTCTAGCTGAAATAAAACAAATAAGAATTTTTCTAGAAGAAAAAATATTATCAGACATAATGTGAAAATTTCCTTGCTCTGTCAAACATCATTTGTGAAATATTTAAAAAAGAAAAAAAAAAACAAAAGGGGGCTAATAATTCTGACTTCAACTATATATATATATATATATATATTTATATATATATATAAATATATATATATTTTTTTTTTTTCTTTAAAAAAGCAGAAATCTCATGCAACAATCTTCCATTGTTAACTAAATTTGATAAAAAAATGTGCAACATTTTCACTCTGGAAAGCATGATTTATGCGGGAATGTAACTGATATGATATGCTGCAACAGCCCTTTTAAATATTAGACCAATGTTGTGAAATTTGACGCTCTCACTGCTGGAGCAGAAGGCAGCCAGCGTTGTTGCCAGGGTGGCCAGAGCGACCTTTGATCCTCTCACCGTCTTCGGTAGGGGTGTAACAGTGTCCTGTTCAAAGGCCCTCCATCGGCCATTACCAATCATGGCCTCCCAATCATCCCCATCCACTAAATTAACTCTAACACTGTCTCTCCACTCCCCCAATACCTGGTGTGTGGTGAGCGCACTGGCACCGTTGTCCTGTGGCTGCCGTCACATTATCCAAGAGGATGCTGCACACTGGTGGTGGTGTGGAGAAACCCCCCTCATAATTGTGAAGCGCTTTGGGTGTATGGCCAATAAATTATGAAAAATACACATTACATTACATTACAACATTAGCTTTTTTTTTTGCTTTTGCATGAACTATCCCTTAAAGAAGCATACTGCATTCCAAAATGTGCCAGAACACAATTTAATGTGCTTCACAGTCAATCTTATTGTTGCAGAGGAGCATTAGGAGGCATTCATGTTAACTGTCTGGTTTACTGACTTGGCAGAGCATCATTTAATAGACATTCTTGCTGGGCAAGTTGGCTGCAGTTGCCATATTTATAACTAGTAAATGAAGATAACCCTTATTGCCCTCTCGAGTCCGCATTTTTCTGTGCATACTTACATAAATGGTATTTCTGGCCTTTTATTGTTTCTCCATGTGTTTTGTATGTAAGTCAAAGATACTCTATTTTGTTTATTGATGTTCCCATTTCAGAAATATATGTCATAATTTGGAGGATGCACTTTAAGGAGCACAGTATGAAAGTCATAGATAGATGTGCCAATGGGAGTTGACTGTATCTACAGCTGTACAGAACTGTTAGTTGCTGCTGTGATATATGCATTATTACGTTCTGACCATAAAGCTTTCAACAAATATTAATACTTTCTGACCGCAAAACTTTCATGGCATATCATAGCTGTTTGATCACAAACCCTGCTGTCAAACTGGATAATAGCTTTTCAACAGATCGATGTTTATTTTACTACTCTGAACAAAACGTTAAAGACGCCAAAGGCTTTCCTTCCTGTCTTTTTGTGGTTCGAGCTCTTCCTAGTACGGTGTTTTTATTTAAATACATACACTTTTCTGCCAAGAACAGCAGGAGCATATGGAAGACATTCCCTTCTGATCATTCTTTATTCACTTTGTAAAAATGTCAATTCGTCACGTCGGAAAGTTATTTTTTTTGTTGCATTTTGTGTCTACATGAGCAATAAAATGTTTCTTATATAAATGTTTGGTGCATTCCTTCGTCACATGTATCTTAATCGATTTCTTACTACATATTTGAGCTAATATTTCTGGTAACATCAACCCAGGCTCATTCTGAAAATGTACCCCTATATACATTTATGGAGAGCGCCAAATACATCCCAGGAGGAATGTTATTTTGCAGTTTTTGTCTTCGCGAATCCATCAGAGGCTGCTGTGTATGCTTTTTGAGATCTCAAATTTCTCTTGCAAGTGCCGTTCACAGCTGTTCTTATCGTGTAAATCCACCAGAGGCCAATGCTGACTGACCGACTGATCAACCAACCCATCTGCCACAGATCCCCTTCCCTAAATCCAACCAATAGTGTTTTCAAAAGTACCGACTGACCTGTCCACCCACTTCCCTAAACCCTACTGGCAGTGTTTTGAAAAGCAATCCAAAAAAAGAAAAGCCCTCACCTGATTTTTACCACATTTTACCACATTCTCACCCTGTTATTTACTTGTTTGTTTTAATATTTCATTTTTGTCTTACCTGCTTTCTGGAACTGGTCTTTGCTGGATTCGAACCTTGTTGTTGTGGTCAACTCCTCTCTGCGTTTCAGGTCCACCGACGTACAAGGCAAGCCACTGGGCAAACTGGTAACAGTGAGAAAGCCGTCCATATGGAGGCAAGCGGTCAGCTGGTAAGCACGAAAAGATGATCTTTGCTAAATTAAAGCCGTCTGTCCACTGCACACGACTGTTGGAATACGCCCCCTTGTGGCAGCCTCACAGAATTTTCGGTTCTGACATGCACCATGGAAGAGAAGCTGTTCTCACAGTTTTCCGAAATAAAGGAGTGCAAAAGCAAAAGCCAGTATTCTCTGTGCTTTCACCATGATTAAATGAACACTAGAACACTTAGACCACTAAAAATATTGGAGACAACATAAGAAATATAAATATTTGTATTACTTTATTACATATATTTATGAATAGAAATGTTTTTTTTTTAATATAGACTTTTTCTGATGAAAAAAATAACCAAAAAAAAACTACTATTTCTCATCTTGTGCACACAGACCTGCTTGGACAACACTGGAGTACATCACATCCGGTCGGCCGGTCGCATACGGTCTAGTCACAGTTAAAATATTTCAACAGATCCGCAGCTCAATTCGGATCTGAATTTTTCACATACGGAGATGATCGGAACTCCACGCAGCTCCTGGACTACTGTCCACTGAAAATTAATGATTTCCGGTCTGCCGTGCAGTGGAAAGGAGGCTTAACAGTACAATAAGACAGAGTTAGTTAACACTGAAAAAGAAATGATTCATTGGATTTACTAAATCTTTTTAAGGTAAGTGGTTGCAAACAATTGATATGGGGCTGAATTTAAACAAACAAAATAAAATTTGCAATGTTCAACTTCACTTGTTGAAAATCAACCTATTTCAGTT